CACACTCCTCCTGTACATCCTGTGACCTCACACACTCCTCCTGTACATCCTGTGACCTCACACACTCCTCCTGTACATCCTGTGACCTCACACACTCCTCCTGTACATCCTGTGACCTCACACACTCCTCCTGTACATCCTGTGACCTCACACACTCTTCCTGTACATCCTGTGACCACACACACTCCTCCTGTACATCCTGTGACCCCTCACACTCTTCCTGTACATCCTGTGACCCCATACACTCCTCCTGTACATCCTGGGACCCCACACACTCCTCCTGTACATCCTGTGACCCCTCACACTCCTCCTGTACATCCTGTGACCCCTCACACTCCTCCTGTACATCCTGTGACCCCATACACTCCTCCTGTACATCCTGGGACCCCGCATGCCATCTGTCTTTCTGCAGGGCAGAGATGTGACTTGTTATAGGAATACGCCTTTGTAAAGTCCATGGCTGCACTAAGCTGACTGTTCCTACTAACAGGTCCATGAACGATCACACACGGGGGACCGGCCTTATCAGTGTGAACATGGCGGATGTGGAAAAGCATTTGCAACAGGTATTGTAGACACATTTGCGCACTTTGTTTCTCTGCAGCAGCCGATCTATGTTCTCCATTTCATTATCCGGCCGTCATTTCCCAGCACAGGCTTTCATGTGACTGGTAACTTTCCAAACACAGACAGTTCTTATTTCAGTCTCTGTGTGTGGAAGGGGATGATGTTTATTCCTGCATGCCGTCTGCACCTTTCCTCTTATCTCTGTCCGTATCCTCGAGCCTTCATTCAGCATCTGTCCCCATGTCCTGTTCTTCAGGTTACGGATTGAAGAGCCACGTCCGCACTCACACGGGGGAAAAGCCTTACAGATGTACAGAGGAGAATTGCACCAAATCGTTCAAGACTTCGGGAGACCTTCAGAAACACATCCGAACGCACACAGGTAACTGACGTGGGACGGCTCGTAGTATTTATCATGAATCTGTGTCCACCACTAAAGTGTCGGCAGGCATGAATACAGCCAGCTAGGTGTGTCTGCTTATAGCTCCCACAATGCCCCAGGAGCTCCCGAACCCAAGACACTCTATGCACATAATGACTACTGTCCATGAAAGTAATATTTGTAATATTTTCCTTGATTGTTTGGTCCCCCTAGTAATGCCATCCTTCACTTACCCCACTCCATGCTCCAGCACTGACCCCTTCAGGGCAGAAGGGCACTATCAGCCTGCACATTTCTTGTGAGCCCAGTTTGTCATGGCACCGGAGATGTGTGGGGGAGGGGGAGGGGGGGGTTAGTTGCATGGAAATCCTGAAGTTCAGCTTGAAGTCTTGCTCTTGCCCTGCCTCCTCATGCCTCCCACATCTAGGATGGGGAACTTTAAACAGTTCACATTAAAGGAGAACTACGAGGTCAGGGCTTTTCCCCATAGTTCTCCTTAGGGTAACGGGAGGACACAAATTAGCGTCCTCCCGTCACCCTAAGCTCAGTATATAGGGAGCTACAGCTCGCGGTATACTGAGACGCCGCAGCCGGAGCGGATCCCAACAATTATGTCTGGATCCGCCCAGCTGCGTGACTGACAGCTGGCTCTGCCTATCTAGAGGCAGAGTCAGCTGTACCCTCCCCCGTCCGCTCCGCCAGTCAGCGCTGGCGGAGGGGGGAATCCAGCCCCTCCCCTGGCAGAGAGCCGTGACAGGAATGAGAGGTGAGTGAACGCCGGTATGTGTTCTCTCACTTCCCGATCTACTGAGCCGACCTGTGACAGTCTCATTGTCACAGGTCGGCTAGAACTATGAGGTGAGTGAAAAGCACCCCCTCCTCATAGTTCTCCTTTAACCCAGGGGTAGCCAAACTCCGGCCCTCCAGCTGTGGTGGAACAACAAATCCCTTGAGGCATTGCAAGATTCTCACTGCCAAAGACATGGCTCCCGGAGAGAGATGC